TCTGGGGCATACCCCCACGGCGTGCGGTCACTCCGCCACCCTCACCGTGCTCTCTGCTGCTGCATGGCCCCGGTGTCCAAGCCGGGGTGTTGGGATCCAGCCTCATTTTGCAGCTACCAAAGCTGGCGGCTAAGGAGCTACCCCGATCTCACGATAGCAGTAACTCCCAACCGCCAAACTCAGGATCCCCCTCCAAACAGTGCTAGGGACCATATTGCCGTCGTTGCTGGGTGGTCTTCCGAGGTCTAGATCCACTTGCGGAACCTCGGCCTACCCCAGGGACGGGGGGGGCAGGCCAGGGTATGTAGGACTTTGAACAAGGAGGATTCTATTTACGTCACCGGTGGCGTTATTTCTTATCTACGTCATCGGCCGTACCTCAGCCCACAGAGATTCAATTGGCACAAAATAAATTGCGTTGTGTAGCTATGACCCACACCAATCATACAAGCCTTTCGACGGTCAAATCCGATAAGTGGTTGCGGAGATTTGCTCAAAAGGGGGCTCAGCAGTATGATACTGCATCTACCACAAAAAAATCCGACTGCAACTTCGCGCAGAGAGCTCCGATCGACACCAATAGCTTAAGTGATGGCTGTGAATCGTAATCGTGGAAACACAACGCGAGTTACATAGTTGGTGTCGATGAGAACTCTCTGCGAGGAGGCACGGTCGTTTTATTTATGGCAGATACAGTATATCATACCGCTGAGCCCCATTTTGAGCATATCTCACCGCTGAGCCCCCTTTTGAGCATATCTCCGCAAAGACTTATCGGATTTGACCGTCGAAAGACTTGTATGATTTGTGTGGGTCATAGCTACACAACGCAATTTATTTTGTGCCAATTGAATCTCTGTGGGCTGAGATACGGGCGGTGAAGTATATAAGAAATAACGCCACCGGTGACGTAAATAGATTTTTTCTTTGAACAAGTATGCCATTATGGTTTTAAGCTCTTCCCGACTTCAGGAAGTGAAAGGGGCCGGCTACAGAACGACAATCACTTCGTGCGGCTGGTGTTATATCTGGTCGTCCTTCAATAATGAGAAGTAAATAGACAATAACACGCGGTTCTTGTGTCGGTGTAGAAACAATCCTACCATACAGCAAACTTTAATTCCGCTTCTGAACGAATGAACGCAGATGAGTTTTGGCTTTGGGAGGTTCGTACTACTGTACCGTTCCCTAGGCGACGCCCCTCCCTTTTTCATTTCACCACACGAGAGGTATCGAATTCAAGGCCGAGCAACAGCAAAGTTGAGCGTCTTGGCCAAAATGGGGATTTACAGGTCAAAACACGCTGTCTCTCAGTAAAGTACCCGGAAAGATGCACGTCAGCTGCAAGGACTCCGTCGTGCACATGGACTTGAGTGAGCTCCATCTCGTGTTGAAACCCTAGTTTGGTCGCCAAGATTTCTCGCTCGTCATCCCGCCAACACGCTGCCCCCCTCCCAAACCCTACCCAACAGGTCGGCACTGGCGACGGCCACCTGTACGTGTTCGAGAATGGCGCCACCACCCTTACCCGCTCGGTCAAGGCCCACACCGGACCAGTGTATACTCTCCATCCTGTCTTTTCCGCCGCCCCAGTCAAGGCGGCCGCAGCGTCGGATGAGCAGCTGGGCGATGACGGAAGCGAAGGGCAGGGGTTCTGGAGTGGAGGCAAGGACGGGCTGGTGAAGTTCTACAATGGTCAGGTCTGGCTGTCCGTCCGGGTCTTGCCTGATCTGGATTGTGCAGGAAGTGCGGGAAGGAAGGGAGGGAGGAGGAGCACGGCATACCTGCGACCAGGAAACATGCAGAACAAAAATGAATGTGCCGGATTCCTGAAGGATTTGAGAATTGGGCGCTGGCAATGTTGTACTCGAGTTTAGTCAAGTGCCGTAGAGTTGTCCACATCGGTGCAACAGAAACATTAAGGCCAACAAAGTTGACCAACGATCCACCACCGAAGTGGGCTCCTGCGTACTACGGAGTATTAAACGCGAAACCTGGGTATCGACACTGCTGTAGCTTTTGTACTACACCGCAACCGGGGTCGTTCGAACGTGATGGCAGTAAAACTAAGAGAACAGTACTCAAGGGCTACAATGCCTGCTGGGGAAGCCGATCGTACTCGAATGGTGGGAATGCTTTAGTAATGTTTGGGCTTAGGCTCGGATGGGGAAAGGCTACTTGTTGCTCGGTACAAACCCTACATGTTTGACATGTGGTCCAGAACAAACATCAAATGTATTGCGTACACATTTAGCCCGCGTGCTTCCCACGTCCTGCGGAAAAATCTCTGCTCTTGTGTGTAAACTGATCATAGTTGGACAGAAGCAGGGCAGCCCAGCGTTTGTTGTTCGTGTAGGTTGCAGCAAGCTATGATGCAAAGAGCGGTTGATGAGTCACGTCTCCGACGAGACAATGATACCACGGGACGAACTTTTTCTTTGCCATTCTCGAAAGGCAAAACCTGCAGGCATGTACATCGTAAAGGAGCTAACCATTTTCATGGTCTTCACTCCCCGACGCCTCATGCGAAGATTCCGTCTTCGTCGGCCTTCCCTCCCCCTTCGTTCCGATGGCCCCACTCCAGTTGCAAGGAGTCACGGAGTTCAGCGTGGCCACGATAGCCTCCAACGGCGTGCCTGGCGGTGCAGCGGGAGCTCTGAAGGTAGTTGGATCCAAGGGTGTCTCTGACAACTTTAAGCTCGTATCAATACCACCCGAGCAGAATGAATGATGTGGTTGTGAGTGTTCGTGAACTCTCTTGGTTGACACGAGGGGAGTACTCTTGTCGTCGCACGGGACTCCTGGCGCGACGAGTAGGCCGTGTTCGCACCTGCGATCGCAGTGGCGAGAATGATCAATTGTCTAGTGAATAAAGGAAGCTCCGTGAATGGAGGACCAGCGTCTCCCCGAAAGCTGTCGCGCCACCTTCCAAGAACTCGCAAGGCGTTCAAACCCCAGGCGAAGCGTGCACCACCGGATTGGCAATTCTTGCCTACCGAAACATTGAGTGCGTTGTGGCCTTCGTCAAAGATGGCTTTCGCCAGATGCGTTTCAGATTTTTCAGCGTCATCACCTTATGTTCTTGCCGGGATACTTCACTCGATTCCCATCCTCCATCCATTCATACTGGCAGGCTCTCGCCGGTGGCGGTGGCATGGGGAAGAAGCGCCTGCCTGGGGCGGGTGGCTCCGGCGTCAGCCTCGACCCCGCTGTTCGGAGCGTCTTCTCGTCTCGAGACGGCCGCAGGCTACTCGTGGGAACGAGGGGTGGGGAGCTCTACGAAATGAGCACCGCAGACGGGAGCGACGCCGCTTCCGCTGGTGCCGGAGGAGCGTCGGGGCGGGGGAGCGGCGGTGGGCCACTAACCGCAGGACACGGGAGAGGACAAGTGAATGATAATAAATTGTATTTACGCTTGCATTGTACCTCTTTGGGGCAGAAGAATCCCTCGTTTCTCGGTGTACCCTTTGACAATGGTAACGGTAGACAGTTTGCCACCGTAGCCAACGATATCTTTCCATGGTGGGCAGCAGCGGGATGCTGGCGAAGGCTGGACGTAGTGCTTTTTTCGTCAGAACAAGTGGCTGTTGTGTTTTCCACTCTCATCAAAAAAAAAAGTGCCAAGCTTCACACGCCTAGCAACACGGGAATACCCGCGTGCACGCTGGACTACTAGAACGATTGGTTGGAAATACCACACGATCGTTGACTCCGACAGTTGCTTTTATCTCTTCCCTCTTCCGGCCACCTACTATCCCATGGAAATAAAGGTGTGGGGATTGTCGGCTCACCCTACGGAACGACTTTATGCCACTTGCGGTGATGATGGCAGCGTGAGGATATGGTCACTCGATGACCGGAGGGTGGTAGGGAGCATTTCCACGGATTGCTCGTGCCGCGCGATCTGTTACAGCCCTGATGGAAGCGCTCTTGCGGTAAGCCATTCACTGCAACATGATTCTTCATGGGCTATATTGTGTCGAGTGGCGTTGGTTTTGGAGTTCATATTTCGCTTGACCATCGGTTGTGACGAAGATTTGAAAATAGGAGAGACTCGGACAGAGGGCAAGACACACTCGCACACAGAGACCCGCGAGCCCTTGGCTTCAACATGAACGAGTGGATTCTAGTCATCTCGCACTACCTCCGAGGCAGTTGTTGGATTGCCTGCCCGTTCCCGCTGTCGGTTGAATGAGATTCGCACCCCCAGGGCAGATGTTTGATTATATGGGGTTCTTCTCGTCCTTGTCCACAACTACCCGCCGTATTACAAACTCTGCGTTCATGAAGGTGGGATGCGGTGGTGGCAAGGGCAAGGCTGATGCCACCAAATCCGGAACGTTTCTGGTACTTAAGTCGGAGAACCTATCACTACGCCACGAAGGAAAGGTGAGGCATGAGAAAATGTGGGTTTTGTTGTCGTTGCTTTCGTCGTCGTGCCGTTGTCATCGTTGCTGCTGCTGCTGCTGCCGCTGCTGTTGTTGTTGTTGTTGTTGTTGTTGTTGTTGTTGTTGATGTTGTTGTTGATGTTATTGTCGTTGTTGTTTGCTGACGACGGGTGACATTAAAGCGAGTACTGCAATCAAAAGACAGCCGTGACCCAAACGGAGATGGGATCTGCAGCTTCTGCGATGGCGAACGGTTTCCTTTCAGCTTCGGAATTTGTGGTACAAGCGCCGCGTTCGGTTCTGTATCACGCGCGCTGGGTCTGATTCTGCCAGAGAAAACGTGTTCCGGTGCCTGAACAACACATCCGAACGTTCCCCGTTGCATGAAAGCAGGATGCCGATGACTGGATTAGGGATGTGAATTATTCATCAGATGGGGCCCGTTTGGCTGTGGCCTCGAATGACTGCAAGGTACGCTGGGTAACGTTGTGCGCTCTGCGCACACATGGATTTCGTTCTGAAGTGTCCTCGAAGCGTTCATTTTAGCGAGGACCATACGACACTGCGCAAAACACTATTTCAACAATTGCCTAATAAATCCTGCCGAAATCACCGATTCCTCATATCTGTGCGTGTTTTTGCCGCAGGCAACCATACGAGCCAACTGCTTCTCCACTCCGATATTTCCAGCACAACACTTCCTGAATAGACGTCCTGAACCCTTTCCGGCTGCCCAAAGACACTTTTTCCAACCCCTCTTCCTGACACGCATGATAGAGCATCCATTAAACTTCCCGAACCCCCTTCGCTCCGGAAACTCATGCTGTCATTGCAAAGGTGTACATTTATGCGACGAAGGACGGGTTCACCAAGCTCAGCACCATCGCCTCCCACCAGAGCTTCGTAACGCATGTCGACTTCTCGTCGGACGGCAACTACGTGCAGAGCGCCGACGGAGCTAGTTCTCTTCTCTTCGCCGACGCCGCTACAGGCATTCAAATCCCAAGTGAGTAAGCGGAGCTTGCTTCGCGTGAGCCTTGTCGTGATTCTCCGTTATGATGTCGCTGCCACGCGTTTCGTATCCTTGTGGCACATCGTCAACGTGCTTCGGCAATTCACTTATGCATAGAGTGCCGTGAAGAAGCCCGTTCTATCGCTTGCTGTTTGTACCTCACTCTGGGTCCGTCGCCAAACGGCAGGCTCGACGCTTTACGCACATGATTTATGAACATCCTATCAGAGAAACAAATGAGAAGTTTTGTCTCTCGTGTCTCCGTTCATCGTTCACAGGTGCGGCGGCGATGAAGGACATCGAGTGGGGCACTTGGACACTCCCATTCGGGTGGGCGGCGAGGGGCGTGTGGCCGATAGCTGGGAATGATCCCGGGACTGAGATTTCCTGTGCCAGGCGCTCCGGGGACTCCTCCCTTCTCGCGGCGGGTGATAACTTCGGGTGAGAGGTTGGCTGTAGCTTTTGGAAAGCTAGTGGTGGACGTTTATACGGGCTTCCCCTCCGTGCGACGAAACACAAGTAGTTCAGGACGAAGATTTTCTTATGGAATTCACATGTTTACGTACAACATGCAGTGAACTCATAGTAATTCAGGACACGATTGACTTACAGAATTTAAGTGGTTACGTACGTCTCTAAATGCACCGCCCGGAGGAATGCGTTCTTTTTGGAGCCTCTCCAACAGTCGGAAGACGCTCGACTTTGGATAAAGTTGTGCCTTGAAACTTCTGCATAGCTCGTAGCTCTTTGGTGATATCATGTTGAACATATCGATAGTTTCAGTGCTACTGTCTCCGGTTTCCTCTGACGAAACTACACGCAGACTTTCCATGGAATAAATCCGGCACGGAGTTCGCAACAGCAACAGCATGGGAGATCGGCTACCGCAATGTCAAAGTCGCAATGCGTGGTCGCCACATTCTTCTTCCGCTGATCCCCTCCGTCGCTTCTGTTTGGTTCACTGTCTAAATGAAAGGCGGCTGCGGGTTTTCAAGTACCCGGTGCCCCTTCCAGGATCTTGCTGCTCAGAGTACCGAGGTCACTGTGCTGCAGTACGGAGGGTGTGCTGGTCCGCTGGAGACACACATCTCTTGAGGTTCGGTGGGGAAGGACGCTGGACTGATATTACCCCTTGCGCCGCCATCGTATAATTATTGAACACAGGTTTCACTCGTAGGCAGTTTATTGGCTGGACCGCATTCACCCATGACGAATCTACCCCGATCGACATCGTGACGTCATAAATCAGGTCCGACGCTGCACCAATGATTTTTTTAATGTGGACTTTATCGCTATCCATAGCAAATTCGTCTTTCCGCCGTCCCTCCCAACCGACTGTCTTTGCTGTTGCTACGCGTTGGCCACAATTTGCAGCTGCGGAGTGGATGGAAGCGTGATGCAATGGAGGAAAATAGCAGAGCCAGATGCGATCGATAGCGGAGACGAGGCCCAGCGCAGCGGCGAGGACAGCGAGCTGGAGGGCGACGGTGGCTTGCGGTGCTGCAACAGCAGAAAGCAACCGCAGCAACAGACGGTGCGCCGCTTACGCAGCGTACGCCACGTTCCTTCACTGTGCCGTTTTTCTGCCAGTGTCATTTCCATGGCCAACAGCAGCATCATTAGCGCATGGCGGTGCGCATTTGCGGTGTCGAATCTACCGCTCCTTGTTTTCATTTTCCGACCAGTGGCCGTTTCAGTCCGCTTCTCTTGACTGTAGTGGATGAGCTCTAGCCCTGATAAACCATGATCAATCAGCAGCTGCATGGCGCGGCTTATCGCGTGGGCACACAAATTGAAAGAGACCATTTTCAGCTCTACAAATGACAGCCAGACAGCCAGATAGTCAGGTAGACTGACAGACTGCCATAAAGCGACACGACCGCGGTCGCGTGATCATTGCGATATTGACGAGGGTGGGGGCGGGAGTGGCCATGTAGAGCACCCACCCGTCAGGAATCCACGCCCAAACGAAACCAGTGCCCCCCGGTGATTTCATTCGCCACACGTGTAAGACGACCGCGCTCCATCGATAACCTCGTCAGGCAATGCACGAGGGACCAGCTGGTGCTGCCGACCCTCGTGCCGGTGGCGGTGGAGAGGTGACAGGGGGCGATGCCGCGGCGGCCGGCGGTGGTGAAAGCGCAGCGGCGAGCGCGGCGGCGGCAATGGCGGGTGTGAGCCCGTCCAAGGCGAAGATGCCGTGGGTGGCGGCGATGGTCCCGCCCTCTAACATGAAGGCGGGTACTTTCAACACCTTAGCAGTGCACAGTCATATTGTGCTCAATTCTTCATGGATATTGTGCCCGTTTCGGTGTGAGACTTTGAACGCAACACACCAACCGAGCTGAGCACCCCTACTTGACACACTCGCCCTGTAGCGTGAGTGCTCCGTCTACTTGGTTGCAACATGGCTGGGGCGTGCATGGTTTGACCCCAACCTCGAAACGCCACTCACGCATGCAAACGTTCATTCCAAAGCTTTGTTCGCTTGCTCCCCGGGTCTGTGCCGTGCGCCATGCGCCTTTACGTCATTTGCCATTTGCACTGTGCGACACCAGATGTCAGACACGACTGCTCCGGAAATCCGCACGAGGCTGGACGCTGTCCACGGCTGCCGCGCGGAGGACCTTCGGGGATGTGTTTGGTACAACCACGAAGAAGGTGAGAATATTTCCCGGCGAACTTTCAAAGTGACAGCGTGTGCTGCCTGCCCAGAGAAAAGTGAGTAGGGCGTGAGTTGGGGGTAGGTGGAGGGTTTTGGGGATGATCCCTGTCGAGGGGCACTGGGGCCAAGCGGGGAGTCTCTTACAACTCCCCAATTTTACAACTTGGCGGATAGTTTCTAACCTTCGATCTCGAAAAGTGCAGCTAAGCTGCGTGAGACAGAGAAAGAGAATCAATGGCAAACCGTCCCATTAGGGGTCACTGTTGAGTGAAAATTTCCCGGCGTGGGTTCTGGGTGCCGGTCCAGAACAGGTCCAGAATCCTGGACGTTTGTAGGTGGCGCTGGTTCATCGCTGGTACGCGGAGTACTCTGCACGAGCAACCTGCGTGGTGGGCTGTTTTCATCCTTTCTTCTTCGTTTTGTTAAAGCCTCTCTCTTTGTCAACCTCGCTTCCGTCGACACCAGGTATCGTCTACCCCGTGGCGGCGCTCTGCGTTATCTACGACCCCCGAACCGGCCGACAGTCTTACCACGACGGTCACCTGGGTGATGTCATCAGTCTAACCGTTTCTTCGTGCAGGCGTTTCGCCGCATCAGGGGACGCGGCTGATCCTCCCCGGGTTCACGTCTGGGACGCCGTCACCGGGGCAGGTGAGGGATCGAGAGCCGAGGGTGTTGAAAGAGGGAGAGATCGCCGACTTATCGTTCGCTACTGTTTACGGAACGGGTCTCAGGTATGCGGTTGAAGTCACACTTCGGCTTCGCTTTTCAGCGAAGCAAGACTGCTAATCTTGCCGGTTTCCTACTTCTTACACCTTGGAAAGCACGAATTTCCATTCCGATAGGCCTACGGTCTCGTCGTGTGAATATTTGCGTTGGTTGATATCAATTGCGGGTGTTCACACGAATCAATCTACGCCATCCTCCTGTACTTACACTCGTGGTGCTACTCGTGTGCCGGGCCCACGACGCAATGCACAATCGGCAGGGGTTGTGTGCGGGGCGGCGGGAGGAGAGACCTCCGGTCTGCTGCCCTCCTTCCACAAGGTTGGCGTCGCGCTGCTGGCGTTCTCTTGCAACGGTCACTGGCTCGCATCCATGGGTCACGATCCGGAGCACACGCTGGCCGTCTACACGTGAGTCGTCGATCCGAAAATGACATGTGGAATGAGAGAGACCGTTGCAGGGAAGATCCTCAAATGTGTCAAATACATAGCTAGGACGGTAACGTTGAGCCCGGCGCTCAGAAGTGTACACCACTGCCACTGACGCGGGCAAAAAGGTTAGGTCTGAACGTGTGATAGGGTCCAATCCGAGAAAGGGGGTGGGTGGGATGGAGGAAGCGGAGGCAACGAGTCAATCCAGCTCGAGCGAGACGACTGTTAAAGTACCTGCTTTCGACAGTGAAGGGGTAGAGGATGGAATAATGATGAATTAGTGGGCGCTGTGTGGGAGAGTGGGGGGAACATTATCGGTCTCAGGACGTCAATCAACCCCCTGTTGCCCCGCTGCTTGCTCGACAACAACATTTTTTCCGTCTTGCAAGATTTTTGTCCTTAATGCTCTGGTTGGGTTGCAGGAGCCCTTCCGGGCAATGGTGGGACGCTTTCCCGGTAGCAACCGCCAAGGCCGGCTTCACCCGCTTCCTGTGTCTGGTTTTCACGGGGCAGGAGGCGTTCCCGCTGTTGGCGGGCGGGATCAAGACCGTTTCGTTCTTCGGCCACACCGATGGCTCCAGGGGCTTGAGACGCAAACGAGGCGTGTTCGGGTGAGTCAATACTGCCCCCGTTTTGTTCTTACGCACAAAGATTGGTGGCGAGTCAGGTACTGAGGAGTTAAGTTTCATCCAAGCACCCTGCGTTTGGTTACAAGATTCGCCATCCAGACGTAGTACACGCCACGCCAGCAGAGCCAATGCAACATCAAGACATAGGGGTGAAGCATGTAAATTAGAACGCCATTCAGGTGTCTCCTGGTACGTCATCGGCACCCGGAGGATAGCATGGATTCTCAAGTTCTTGTTTCAATCCGTGCAGGTTTTGATAGAGCGGTGACGGCCTGTGACTGAATAATGCGGTGGCTAGGAGAAAATCCAGCCGGTGGTGGAATTCACTCGAAGAGTGGCGTGTAACCCCCCCGTACTGTGGTTCACGTGGGCTCGATTACCGACATCCAGTCCAAACTGTGATGGGGATTGAGCACCCTACTTTTTGGTCACGACCTTGGCAGGACATCGAGCGGAAGCCCTCCATAGGTTTGTTCCGCGTTGACTGAACCTCTCAATCTAGTCTACATTGTTACAATTCACTTATTGGCCAGGTTCCGTAAAAAGATTCAGCCCGTTCTGTGCGCTGTGAAGATGGGCGAGGACCAGACTACGCTGACGGGAACTGTGACCGGCCACCTCTATTCCTGGAAGGTAATGATCACCTTCTTTGTATGCATCTCCGAGAAGTGGAACAATCTCTTCAATGCCTCAGGCAAAGAGCGAGGCCGCTGTTGTTCTTGGGGTTCAGGGGGTAGAAGACCGCGCCACTCCGTTCCGAAGTGCTTGCTGAGCCCACTCAGAGTCGTTACGGGTACACCTCGAGTCTGTTGTGGGTTGATATTTCTTCGGCGTCCAAACGTGTTTTGCGTCCTGGGAAGGAGGCAAGAGCAGGCGCTCTCCTCAGGACGATGGTTAATTTCAATGTTTTTCGGCCCGCATACGTCACGTGCATGAGAATCCATGTCGCGTCCAAGAGTAGGAACCCCTGTGCCCGTTATGACTGTTTTCGCGTTTCAGCTGTCGCCGGTGTTGCCATTTGCGTAGTCATTGTGTTCCCATTATCGTTGTGGTTTGTCTTGCTGTCGCCGCTGTTACTGTTGTTGGTGTCGGTGGGAGTGTTGTTGCTCCGATGTTATTCGGTCTCCACAATGAGCAATATATTTCCCCCTCACGAATGCATGCTTGTAGGCCCACCGTGTGCACCGGAGCAGTGCCGGCCACGCGGGACCGGTCTTTTGCTGCGCTAGGGCCGGGGTAAAGGGATACCTTACGGCGGGGAAAGACGGCTTCATTATGCTCTGGGACCCAGAGCTGCAAAAGCTGAAGCAGGCAAGTTCTGAAGTTTCTGGTTCTGTTCGCGGTAGCGTTTCGACACTCAATTCCAATCTCTCTCAATCTCTTTTCCCCGCCCACCCCCCTCTTTCTGTGTCTGCCAAACGTTCTCTCGAGCGACCCAGAGTGTGCTCAGTCCGGGCGATGCATGTGCGTCAATAGTCTGAAAACTTAAACCATGCGTCAATACGGGAAACTTCGTTCCCTTGTTTTTCCTTACCACTATCTCTCTCCGTCCATGCCGGCGTGAAACCTTATCGACAACTTCTCAGGTACGTTCTGACTGATGAGACAAATTGGAACATGTTCTACAGTACATGTATTTGCCGTCATATTCGTTTGTATCGTTTCTCTCCGTCCGCCTCTCTCCCGCGGTCATCTCGTTGACGGCATCCGTTTGCCTGCCCAATTCTGTACCTATCCCGTCTTCCCGTCCGAATGTCCGCCTGTCGTTGTCTCAACCTTCTTCTCTTTGGACAGTACGGGGTCTTCGAGACCCACCCGGCAAGTGCCGTGCTGCATTCGATCTGCTCGGTCGGATCGGCCTGCAAGTTCGTCGCGTGCACCCGCGCGGGAGAAATTTACGAGATTTCGAAAGACAGGTACATTTGATGGGTCTGCAAAAGAATCAATAGGTGTGTGCGGGATGTCGAGAACTCTCGACAGCAACAAACTCCACGCAGGTTTCCGGCGTTGCGACCGACCGCTTGGTGGGCAACAGTTCAGGAAGTAGCCAACCTACCCCTGCCCTCGTCCAAGAATAAGAGTCAAATCTAGCCGTGAGTTGTTGGTGGACTGGTTTTCGAGAGGATCTTCACTTGCGTGTGCATATCGCCTTGAACACGCCACGCCGGGATTTGAGTTGCTCAACCAGCCGAGCTACCACACATTAGGCCATCAGGGTGGCCACTTTCGTATGTGATCGGTGTTTCAAAGTTAGGAGGAACTGCCGGTTTGACCTTCTTTCGTGAGTGCGGCGTCGACTCGAGCACGGACACTGGCTTCGACAACATCACCCATCATATGCGTAAACACGTGAAAAACGTTTTTCTTTATCTCGACCCGATCCCAACACTTTCACTCCGGCTACGTACACAAAGAAGCGTTTTGTACCGCTCTTGGCAGTGGTACTGCACGTGGTACCTAGACCCCGTTGGGGTTCTGAGGATCCAACAAGACCCCCTCTCGAACTTCGAATGCTTTGGTCGTGGCGCGACACAGCGGGCGCCTCCTTCTTCTCGCAGACGGGCACGGCAAAGGCCAGCTGAGGGGGCTGGCGACCCACCCCACGGATCCAGACGTCTACGCCACTGTTGGAGATGATGCCTTTGTTAGGGTATGTTGTTGTCCTTGATGTTGGCTATAACTTTGGCGTTCAGATCGTTTCGTAGGACCCACGTACGTGGTTATTTCCGGACGTGTCCAATGGGCCACTCGGTGTGGGCCTTGAATGCCGACGGCATATTTGTTTGGTCCATTCGATCAAGCTCGCACGGGACATCTATCCAGAGGACCGCCGAACCTACTCAAACGTGCACTCTACATCAATCATCAACACGTAATATTCTCTCGTGGAAGGTATGGAGCTTGAGCCTTCGCCGGGCCACCCTCAAGATGAAGGTGGACTCGGCGGCGCGGTCCCTCGCGTTCTCTCCCTCCGGAAAGCACCTCGTTGTCGGCCTGGGCGGGGACCGTGACGCCATGGTCAAGGAAGGGACGGTAATTGTCTTGTCCGCGGAGACCCTGGAGATCTTGGAGGAGGTACAGCAGATACTTGGTTCTTTTGGTACCCAAAACACGAATTTACACGTTGGAGCAAGTGGAATTGGTTCAAGCGGTATGATCTGGACGATACCTTCTGATCCGTTCCGTGGGACGTCCCATGGTGACGTCCAGGCTCCTTAGCGCTGTTGGGATGCGCAGTATAGCAGACCGCTGGTCCGGTGCTGTTAGTTGTAATCACCCAAGCTTCCGTCGAAGTTAGTGTACCGCGAAGACGTTTCCAACCAAGCCGACGACGTACGTTTGGAGAGGAAAATGACTGCGGCGCCAGTCTCGGCATAGCCGCTCGCGATGCGTCTTTCTGGTTAGTCCCCACAAGAACGTTGCCGCCATTAGCGCGAGTTCGTGGAGGTTATCTCGATCACCAAGAGTAGCACCGCATCGCAATAACCGTTCCCCATGTAATGTTGATTTTTCCCTTTCTCTATGCAGCTGGGCGCCCATTGTATCACAGACATCGATTTTTAACCCGTTCCCATACCGAAAACAGCTGGAACGCAACACATTCTTTGTTGCAGGTTCGCAGTGCCAAGACTTGGATCTCGGACATGAAGTACAGCAAGGATGGAGCTCTTCTCGCGGTAGCCACGAGCAGCGGCCAGATCTACGTCCATGATGCCGCCGACCACTACAGTCTCAAGTGCACGACGAGTGAGAGAGCGAGGAGTCATTCATTCCCACGATCAACGCGTGTATCAACTTGTGTTCATTTTCCGTAGGGAGGGGAGGCAACCTTCCTTGCTCTCTGGTGGCTGGTTACACCCATAAAAAAAATGAAATGACTTGTTGGTGTGAGCATGATCGACAGCACCAACGACCAACGGTGGGTTGCAACACAACCGCTTACGCGTGGGTGAAAATTCCTCAACCTTGCAATCACCACGAAATATAATAGAACATTTAGCTTCGCGGCTGGGAGCTGTCCACGACAGATGTCATCGAATACTTCTAAACAGGTGCCAACAATCACGACAAGCGGTGATGCTGTATGCCAACTTCGCACGATAAGCACTCGTCGATGGCATCGACGCGCTACAAGTGTTCGTGGCACGTCGAGTCCAACACGACCTGTTCTCATCATACAGCCTCCCTCCGTCCCCTCCTCCCTCCACTTGAAACCAGAGAAACTCGAGGACGTGAGTTCTATCACCAGCATGGATTTCTCCACCGACAGGGAAGTCCTGCAAGCAACGACAAGGTACACCCGGCCTAGCGATGTAGACTATGATAATGGGTTGCATCTTCCTACTGAAGAATGGAATTGGAACTTCGGCGCAGCTCCCTGCGCTAAACGACGGCGTCATACGATTTGTATACCACCTTAACGATCTCACGTAGAATTGTGAGTCGCTCTCTGACTGTCATTCGCAGTTGGGAGAGTCTTGTGGATGCAATTACGTTTTAAAGACGCATAGTACGATTTTTGTTTTCACAAACACCCACACTACTCATTCACCCTCGTGTCTTGCTTCTGAGTCCGATGTTTCGTTATGGCGCGTTCTACACGATCCAACAACAACCTCAAAGAAACACGTATTCCATGCAACCCTCGGATGTACCAGCTCGAAGGATCTCTTGTTCTTCCACGTCGCGGACGGGCGCCGGCTGACCGCCAAAAGCAAGACGAAGGACCTCGCTTTTGAGACGCAGACGTGCCCAGCCGGGTGGACTGTCCAGGTAGCTCACAACAATGCGAGTTCTGAGAACGACGAAACGCCCGAGAGGCGGGTTGGCAGCCTCTCCTTTTTTGAAACCCTTGCGGAATGTCGCCCTTCATTTTGCTGCATCCATATGCGTGTTATAATGGTACGGTGCTTCTTGTTCGGGTGCTGAACACCACAATTGGAGTGTGTGACCGCGGCGAAGGATCATTGCAGTGTACACTAAGACGAAAGGGGCTCCAGAGGCAGGTTCCAACTGCGGAGAGTGTTTGTTTCTGAATAAAAAGTTGCCCCCACTTTCGTCAGCCTTCTTCACACCCCCAGCCCCCTGGCAAGGAGAGTTGCCACGCAAACCGTAGATGGAAAGCACGAAAGTGCTTGCTTGTAGCACAGGAGTTTGAAGCAATTCGCAAAGTATATCATGGTCATGTTAAATGACCCACACCGTCCCTGGTACACAAGGGGAGTCAAGCCTGCCAACTGACCGCCAGCTCGTTCGCATGACGAGTATATCGCCGTTTTCAAGTGAGGAGCCATCAAGTATAGAGCGCCCCCCTCGATTCGAAGCACGCGTCCTCAGATCTTTTGACCGTTAGGTGCGTGTGGATGAGATACGGTCGCTCGTCTCGGTAATTCTTCTCTTGTGCGGTGATGTTGTGGCACGCTTTGCTCAACCGCTTCATTGTCAATTTCCCGCGCTTCCTGAAGGCTACTTGGCCTCAGGGTCGGCCCGACCTGGAGCCGGTGTCAACCGACCGATGCACGCCGGCCCTGGTCGAGAGGCAGCCGCAGTTGGGGGCTCTGCTCGCGGCGGGGTACAAGACCGGGCAGGTCGAGGTTTTCCGGTGAGAAGTACAAAAAAAAGCATAGAGAGGACGACAAGGAAGTAGGCGGAGGGATCGTTTTGGCCTGGCACCCATGATGTTCCTGGCATGACCCGACATTTCAAGGCTGTTTTTGGTAATCAGGAAAAGGAACGAGAACGCTGCCGCTTGCCACTCATGCGATATGATTTCGGCATGGTTTGGTTCGTTCCCGCATTTCGTCCCCTAGTCCGTCTGCTCGCTTCTACTTTCACTGTTGCCTCCGAACAAATGCGTCCCATTCGAGGCCGCCACTTTGTGACGGCACGATAGTCTATTTGTGCACTGCCTGACAACGAACACAAAGCCTAACGTGACGAACATAAGACCACATGTATCGACGCCGATCGAACGCAACGCCCGGGCTCCCTCGTTGTGTGGGCCCCGCGTAGGTATCCATGCCAGAACCAGGGGGCGAGGTCTGTGTCAGCCGGCGGCCATTCCACTGAGGCAGGAAGGGTACGGTTCAACGCCGACGGGACCGCTCTGATATCGATCGGCTCGGACAGCCGGGTGGTCTTGCAGCACTCGGTGCTTTCCCCGCTTCCGCCAGTGTAACGAAAGGAGCAAGTGGCATTTTTATCGGAGAGCACAGTTCGCATGATGTTGTCTCCGAGGTGGCGAATTCTAGTACATTAACTTTGCCTTCTTGTCTTTCGAGCCATTGGTGCGTCTCATACCGTTTCAAACGATATCTTGGGGGCGACCTGTTGGTCCGCGTTTCGTTCCTTGTCTCTGATCGGCTATAATAGTAAGTGCCTTTGATTTTTGCCGTGGTGTTGTCTAGAGTGAAATTGAGACTTCTCGCGATCACGTCGCCCTCTTCGAGTTAAAACCGGTGTGGGGTCATCACGCGAAGAGTTGGAAACACTCAAACAGAGGTGGTAGCCACCCCGTCCCATGCTTTTCATGCGCAGTGGAGTATGCTTGGCGCATGTTTTTTTCTTTTTTTTTACCGAACTGTGGTTGTGACGCTATGTCCAGTCTAAAATTTGCTGGAAATTGGGTCTGGGAACCAGGTGGCCCCAACAACGTACGATCTACTGTGGCTTTGGTCACCACACGGCATTAGAACGCAGAGGCTGAGCAGCCTCGAATGTTGCTGCAATCTTCACCGGTTGATGTTTCTGTGCACGTTTTCGACCAAAGGAAGGCGAACATTATTCGGGCCACCGTCTCAACTGCGACGAGCACAAGAAGAACAACGGCCACAACGCGGTTGTTGGCAACGATATTGGTAGGGGGGTTGCCACAATCTCAGGCCATTTTCCACACGGTGTCGTAAAAATGTTAAACGACACCGCACAAATGCTTCGAAGCCGTGTTAACTATGTTCCCACGGCTATCAGCTATCGCGTAAGCTCACTTCCGGCCAGAAATGACCAATGGTTCCTGAGATGTGTCCCAACACGATGTCAAGCCACCACCTCCGTGGTGTGCTAAAGTAGCCTGTTACGACAGGGTGTGAAATTCTTCGAAAACGCCTCTAATGGGCACGAACCCAACTTCGCTGTATTCCCACGGCTCTGAGCAGTTGCGCTAATCCTATTTCGGCCACAAACGACAGGTCGTTGCTGAGATATGGCTCAACACGATGTGACGGGCACCACCTCCGCTGTGTCTAACAAAAAGAGTACAATGACACAGAGCGAAACTCTTCGAAAACTCCTCCGACGAGCACGAAATCAACCTTGCTGTGTTCCCGCGGCCCCCAGCTGCCCGAGAAGGCATCACTGTCGCCACCCTCCTGGTCGTCACTGCTATTCCTATCCTTGTCCGCGAAGTCTTCATTGTAGTCATCCTGCTCCTCATCGCTACTACTCCCTCTCCACACTCGTCTCCGGTCTGCCCTCGCTCCCACGCTCGCGGGCTCTCTCAAGATCATCAATTGGCTTTACTTTGACGGTTGCCCTCAAGATCATCGTTGGTGTTACTTTGGCTATACTCCGTTATGCGTCACCCCCGATTCTTCCCCCTGCCCACCCTTTCCTCCTGTTGATTTGGTATGCCGGCATCGATCGGGCATGCACTATGCAATCGTCCGCATCGACGAGACCAGCAGACACCTTGAATCCATTTCCACATCGTAATGCTGTAGGCGGGTTCTAGGTCGCCATCCACGTTGGTCTTGCAAAGCGTTTCCATAGCCGGGGTTTTTGGTACCCCAAGTCCGGGTATGACAACGAGTCCCGACTCCGATACGCATGTCTCTCTGGTTGGATCGCAACAGAAACATGAAATCGTGGGGCGCTGCCAAATATCTGTTTCACCATCAGCTTCGTCGAGGCTTCCTCTTGGAGGGAATCGTTTTGCATATGAAAAAAAACTCGATGGATAAAGTAACATGATTCATTGAAGAGTTGGACGTTAAAGTTATGGAAAACCATTTTGACGTCCCCGAGGGAAAATGGTATGTATCGTTGAAGGAAAAGGCCTCCGCGGAAACGTGAAGAAATAGGCCTCCACGGAAACGGGCATCACGAAGTTCGCTCCTTCAATCTGCCCAAGGCGTTCATTGTCAGTTTTTTTCGGTGTCGTAGTCGCTTGCGGACCCGGGGCCGGACTCCTTGGAACAATCGGTTTAACTATCGAAACCTACACAAAAAATACATGCCGTTTCTTTCATGTCCATGCCGTGCTTGTCCAGGGTTTCTGTATCCCACACGGAGGTGTGATGCCGAGTCTCTACTCCCCACGCATGTCTCACCCGTTGAATCATACAATAACAAAAAACCCGGGACATCGATGCCGATGATCTGTTTCATGATCGTTTTTGGTTGCAGATCCTGTACATTATACTGTTAGAGCTGCCTCCAACCAGTTTCCTGGTGACGCTCGTGAATTGATCTTTTAGTAATATGTTTCGACATGCACAAACAAGCGCCGATGATCGGATCACCCGTAGATGTTGTAGCGGTGCATCCTCCCCAAAACATCCGGAAGGATGGCGATTGAGTGTCCAAGTGCTCGTGCGAATAAGGTTGTTCGTGATGTACACAGTCGAATGCGGCCCCAGTAGATTTATATTCACGCTTGACACGGTTAATCAGAATCGTGACGAGCCTTGTTGGGACGTGTTTTCTGCAGTTTTCACGTGTTGCATGGTGACAACATATGCTTGAGCACCACTCCAGCATCTCTCATCTTAGCTGTCGCCGTGAAGATTGCTTCATGTCAGTGTGCCAGACACCGGTGCCAAACATCAACAGACTCCGGGCGCAGAAATGCACAAGCGTTCTCATTGCTCATCGGTCCCTCCAATTTGTCGAGAAGTCGACCGTCACATCCATATAGTTTAAGTGGTCCTTCGCACCCGTGTGAATTCTGATCCGTCGCTCGGCTTACCTAGTAACTCAATCGCGGTTGATCTGACATAGTCTACTCCTATTTGCACCTTGCTTCTGTGCCGTTCCTGTCGAAGACAGGTGTTGTCCCACTCCTGGAACGGTTGTGCACTTGAGCTGAATCCTCCTGTTACTGTTTCATCTTTCTTGGTGAACACGCTCCTTGGCCGATGCCCATTTCCTCCAGCACGAATTTTGCTAGATTTGGGGTTAGCAAACTGGCACGAGTTTAATGTGAAGCCAACAACAACAACAACAACAACATCAACAACATCAACAACGAGTAGCTTAAATGGGTTTCTTGACAGTGGTGTAGTCATTCAACACGCAAACGAGGTTCGGTATGAGATCGCTGTCAGAATAGTGGCCCGATTCTCCACTGGCCGTTAACAGGCTGAAGCCGGTCGATGATCTCCGGAATGTTGTCATATTGCTTATTTTGTTCAGCTTCCATTCGTATGATACACGAGTATCGCAGGGTTCCAGTTAAACTTTCCACCACTGTCTGTTCTGTCGGCTGTGCACCGCCCGAAGTAGTTTCCGACCCGCACGCTCTTGCTGACGTTGGTGCACGAAACAGGGGTTGTCCTCGCTTGCGCCCCCTACTCCTGCCACCAGCAAGGCTTACGCTTACATGGTGATAGTCGGGGCCTTTCCACAACGCATGTGGACCTCTGGGTGTTGTGCGCTGACCAAAGTGTTGACGAAAATGCTTGCCAACGTGGCCAGGTGTCCCATTCGTATGTATGCGGCGATGAAGACAGTCTTATCTGTGGATAATGGACTCAATCAACCCTACGCCCCCGGTCGGCCGCCCTAACGATGGCAACATGAAGGTCTACATGAATAGCGGCAGCCGCGTGTCGGTTTGGTCCGAATGAGGACTTGCGTGACAGCCCATTGGGTGTGATTTCGGAAAGGTTCGCCTGGTGCCGAAAGTATGCCTTTTTAACGACACCGCCGAGGTGGTGCTACGGCCACAGTGTTGGGGGTATCTGGGGAGTCACATGTTGATTTTGGCCAAATGATGGCTTGTGCGACAGCCGGTGGTCGTGGAAACACAGCAATGCTGGGTTTGTGCCCGTTAGAGGTGTTTTTGGAAAGTTTCGCGCGGAGTCGTAGTTATGAACATATTTACGACGCCGCCGGGGTGGTACCGTGGCACCGTCTTGGGCCATATCTCAGCAACCACCGGTCCCAATGGGACGAACGAGGGCTTGCGCGACAGCTGAGAGCTGTAGGGACAAAGAGGATCTGGTTTCGAAGCATTTTGTGCAGTGGCGTAGGTATTGTTGACGACACCGGTGTCGAAAATAGCATCACCGAAGAAGGAAACACAAGGAGTACCTATATGTACACGGGCCAATGGATGCATGAACAGAGCCGAAGGCCACATATAGGACTGGGAATATTGGCCTTTGAGAACGTAGACGAAGAAATCGGCAGGTGGACGACGAAGACGAGGAATCCAGACGGGAATGAGGATCCGAGTGCGAAGACCGGGTTCGTGTGCTTGCCGAATGTCCGTTGTACAAGGAGAGGGAAATATACGTGACTGAGTTTGGAAAAGTTCAAGGACAAGGTACAGAGAGGTTTTTGACGCATGAAATGAATTGCCAGGAGAAGACGGTAACGGTACTGGGGCATGGGCACTGGGTGGGAAAGGAGGGAAGTGATATTGATAGGATGGATAGGTTAGCGAAAACATTTTTGAGCCACCGTTTTGGCAAATTAGAAAGGAACGATTGGCTGTCGGTGATGGCTCCTGTGGCAACAATGCTCCGTCCTGTCACGGACACGTGGTCAAAGATCTAACCACTAATAATGCAAAAGAAAATATGAGAGAGAGTACGGCTCCCCTTCGGATCCAACTGCTGCAGTCGGGAAGAGGCTTGCAAGGAAGCTAAAATCGCAACTAGCCGTATGTACAAATAATATGCGAGAGGAGGGGTTGCCGAGAGAAACCTGGGTGGCGAAGTGGACAAACAAGAAGAACAGGGGTAATAGTGGAGGGAACGGATCAAGGTTGTAGTGGACGTATGGAAGAGTTCGAAGTCGACGAGGGTAATACATTGACAACGAACGGTAGGTCTAGACTAGAGGGGTTCGAGAACAAGAAACCTGCTATTTTTGCGAATAGAGATCACAATGAATATAGCAATAGGATCCAAGGATAAGGAGGGTCTAGATGTGCATGAATAATGTTGAAAGAAGATATAGGTACCTACATGAACCAATGGGTGCAGGGATCAAGCCGAAGGTCAAATTTAGGACTGGGGACGACGGTCTTTACTTTAGGACGTTGACGAAGATTCGGGAAGGAAGACGATAAAGACAAGTTCAAATGTGAACACGACTCCGAGTACGCAGACCGGGTTCATGTCGGTGCGAAACGTCCTTTTTGGGGAACAAGGACAGAGGAATGTACATGGCTGAGTTAAACAAGTAGAACAAGCTACAGGGAAATGTTTGAAGCATGGAATAGCCACAGGAGAAGAACGTGGCTGTACTGGGGCATCGGAAATGAGTTAAAAAGGCGGGAAGTGATATCGATAGTAGTAGAGGAAGGCTAGAGAAAACTCTGATGAGCCACCTTTGGCCCTTTGGTAAAGTACTTCGAAGTAGGAAAGAACGATCGTCATCGATACTGTTGGAACATTGCGCTCTCTCGAGAAAGTGTGGTCAATGCTCCAACCGCTACGGGATGGGAAACATGAGAGAGAATACACCCCCCTCCTCCCTACAAGCCCTCGAATCTGCAACCAGCTGCTGTTTGGGTCACCCCCAACTATGCTGAGTTCTTATCTTGCAGCCGCCGCGTTTTGGCGGCTCCGTTCTTATCTGGATGCGCATTGGTACATAAGGCGGGTTTTTGTTCTACATAATGGAACACCACGTCGGAACTGAGCACCTGTTCTTCATGGCCAAGTTCTTGGATTGCCTGAGGCTCATGTTCTCAGCTGCTACTCGAGTAAATTCCTAAGGGCCGTTTTAAACTGACCGACTTTTTGTCAAAATTTTTGAAAGTGTCAAAAAATGGAACCTGTATGTAGGCGTTTGTCCATTTTTTTCAAAAATATTTGGAACGAAGTTGGGCGCGAAAACTTTGCTCCACTTCGTTCCAACTTTTTGACAACCCTCTCAAAGTATTTGGAGCACTTTCCAAAGTACCCTTGCAGAGGCACGCGAGGGCTGCTGCGTCTGCACCACGAGTGCTCCTCACCGTAGAAAGTCAGCTAGGGTTGTGTGTGAGTCATGGCCGACCGTAGAAAGCGCGGCGCGCCTACAGATTCGAGCGGCTCTCCTCGCCCACGGGCAAGCGCAAAAAAAAACAAAACCGGCGGTCCGCCNAAAAACGGCGGTCCGCCATGATGGCTTGCAGTTGTTGCTTCGCGTCCGCCGCTTTGTTTTTTCCTTTTCCCGGGGGGGTAGGAGCAGTGGTTGCCACCCCTCGCCGGCGGCCTGCTCCACCCTCGCTCTGAGTGTTGGTGGCGGCAGCGCCTCCCGTGGTAACATGAGTGTTCCCCGAGATGCCAGGCAGCAGCACTATCTTGCTGGAGAGCAAGCCTCCACCGCCTACGGCGGCACCGAGAGAGCCCGTCTGCTGGAATTTCGCCGGGGTTTTGGTCTGCCGGCCGCGCTGGGTGGTCGTGATATCCATGTCGGTGTCCATGATGTCGTGTTTTCCGCGGTTTGTGTTGTTGTGTCGTGTGTGTTGTCTCGAAGTGAGCGCTACAACTCACGGACGGCGTCATTTTTTTTACACAAGTTGCACAAGTCTACGTCACACGTTTAAAATGACTGCACACAGGTTCCAAGTTTTTGAAAGACAAATGTCGAAAATTTTGACAAAAAAGTCGGTCCGTTTAAAACGGCCCTATAAGGCGTGGCGCGTTCTGTAACCTCAGGTTCTCTTCTGCAAGTTGTTCAAGGGTGCTGTGCCCAGTACCCGTGGGTCGAGAGAATTGTTCGGCTCTTTCCGCTAGCTACCATGAATGAGACTCGCCCCCGTTCATTTTCTTTTCAACTTTAGGAACCATATAGGCGACTCTCAATGTGTAGACAAGTCTACCTTGATGTAGGACCTCCAACACACACACGTAGTCAACGTACGCCTTGTTTTTCCGGGTGTTTGCGGGGAATGGATTGGCAAGTCTAGACTGACTTGCAACATGCCGGGCTTCTTGTGCCTGAGAAAAATATTTCAGAACCGTAGAGGGGTCGTGTCGAGTTGATTTCAATGAATGGAGGCGGAGCTGTCCCCCCCGTCACTTGATGTTTGTTGTGCAGTAGTAGTAGAAAAAGCAAGATAAATGATGCGAAAAAATGGCAAGATGAGATGTTCTGCCAAACAAAGCAATACGCAATCAAGGAACGAGCTTCCCCTCAAAGAGGCAAGCCTCTTGCGGTAGATTAACAGTTCAACACAGCAGCAGTGGCGAAATTTGGGATATGGATAGCTATAGCCTTTATCTCTATGGAGTATTGGTTGGCAACAAGAACAACATGGAAGAGTCCAAAACCTCCCCTGAACACTGCCGGGCAAAAGAAAAAATAATTGTTTCAAAGAGAAACTCTCCATAGCTAGTCTTGTCTAGTCTCTAGTAGTCTGTAGACTAAGCTGAGGAAACTGCTGCGTTGAACTGCAGCAGTTCAACGCTGCTGCTGTTGGTTAGTGGACAGCGTAGTTCTGGTTGCTGAAGGGAAAAGCGCCAGACAAGACGAGCCACACATGTATACTGTATGCGGTGAAAAGATGGCCGGGGGAAGGAGCGGGCGACAGGGAGAGGAAGACAAAGGAAAACAAAAAAAGTTTGGGGTGGACTGCTATTCGCACAGCCTGGCCGGTGGGGATTCGACACCGTAGTATCTGCGTGTAAGATATACTTGGTGTCGACGATGTGTAGCGGGCCGGCCAGTCGCGTAATCCTCAACCATTTTGGTAAGAGGACCGCTTGTCGACATGTAAGTTTCCCCCATCTGAACGTGATTTCGGTCTGATGTCTCGATAGGCAATATTGGCGCGCCCTGTTTCCCTCCCTGCTGTATGCTGTGCTCCTTTATGTAGGTCTATGTCCTTTGTATTGCCTTCGGCCTCTGTGCTGTGTTTCTTTTTTTTCATGACCTCCCTGCCTACTCTGCTGTGTTGGGTACCTTGATCTCGCTTTGCTGTTGCCTTTGTTTTTGTACGTCTGGCTGTCTGCCGATCTGCCGCCTCTTTGTCCTGTTTGCTCCGTTACTCCCATGCCCTGGTGCGTAGTGCCTGGTGCTGGAACGTTTCCCCTTGATTTTTTCTTTGGGCGGGTGTGGGAAGCGTCCTCCTTTATTTTTGTTTTTGCTTTGTTTTGATCGGTTTCCGAGGGCTCTTTTCTCGATCGGTCGGTGCGATACCTGTTGTTTTCTTTCTATCATTTTGTGTTCTTTTTCCGAGTGGTTTGTACCCTACTTTTGTATTTTTTCCCCGCGGCGTCGCATGTGCCAGGTTTTGACACCACGGACTCCCCATTCTCTTGTGTACTATATATAGAGCTAATGTGGGAAACGATAACAACAACATCAACTCCCACCGGACGTTTTCCGTATTTTGTCGTGAGAACTGCTGTGCAGTAGGTGTCCCGGTAATATAAATAGTGCCGGTATGTGTCCAGGAGGGTAGGCCGGCACTTTACTGGCTACCGGCACTATTCAAAACAGTGCCTGAATATTGTAGTGCCAAGCCGGCGCTATTCAGGGTCTGTCTATAAATTCCTCGATAGTACTCGCTTGGCACTGATGTTCAGGACAACAATTCCATCAGAGTGCAGCGCTTACGCTTTGCGGCGCTGACAGATTACCAACCGAACGAAATACGGATCAATTGTGAGGCACGCGACGTGGGCGGGCTTCTCTGAGTTTTGTGATGCTCCCAGCCTGTCGAAAACACGGCTTGGGTCACATTGAGATTTTGTTGACCAGATGCAGGTATTAATTATTTGTTGGTCCATCGTTCTCTTCCCACCTCAGCGCACCATCGTTCTCTTCCCACCTCAGCGCACACACTGAGTAGGGTATTGAACGTTGCCGCTGCCTTTAAACCTTAGACCGTGCTGCCCGATCGAAAGGCACGTCGCATTTAAATGGCGAAGTAGCAAGAAGGCGGTGTTCGTGGGTCTGTGACCATTGGTGTTGGATACATGTGCTGGATGATTTTGTGTCACGCAGACTGGTAAGATTACCGTTTAGTAGGGGGCACTGCGATGATTCACGGGGAACCTCCTTGCTGTGGGAGCCGCTCTTTGAGCACTCCCTCTTTCGTCCGTGTGAAGGATGGTCGTCTACCTCTCGTGAAGTTAATACATCACCAAAACAGTCTCACCCGATAAATAAGTGGCGTAGGCCGCA